TACTTCTGCACCCCGCTACAGCAAGCACCTGAATAGTCTGGACAAACGGAAGTTAGACAGCTCTGATGCATGCATTACCCGCACTCCTAGTGGTATTTACAACTATCACGAGTAAGAATGCTGACCAACTTCTTACTACCTACTTCATTTTATTTTCAGTCAGTGTTGATCAAGTATCCCTTGGGGTTTTTTTAAGGATTGCTTTAGATTTAGTTAAGCTAATTTCATAATAAATATGGAGATTCACCTGTAAGATCCAATGAAATAGCAGTTTATTAATTTATCATATTCCAACTATCTAGAAAGCAATTGATAAACAATCATGTGGTTGAAAGACACTGTGCATTTCACAACAGTAGCATCTGAATTTCCTGCCTTAACTTTGAATATTATATCACTATTAATGCCTCTGATATCAATCAGGGTTAGTTTTTTTACGAAACATAGTACTGAAACAGCATCCAAACAGCACTAAATATATTGTCAAACAATCAAATCAAAGCATTTTCCTGCCCATTGCAGAGAAGCTAGAACCACATGATCTTTAATGTTCCTTCAAGCTCAAACTGTTATATGACTCCATTTCAAAGCTACCTTATTGGTCAAGAGAATATAACAACAGCTTGCCTAGTCAGACCAATAGACCTCAACCTCAGTACGCCACTTACAGCCACAGGCTAACAGGCAGTTCCACAGGACTAGCATAAAAACAAAATAATAAACCTCACAAAACATTTAAAATCTCAGAACAGTTGTAAATCAAAAAGACAGTATCTTTTAGACCCCACAGGAAATTTTCTTCCATGAACTTATCCAAACACTTTCTGACCCAAGAAAATGTTAGCATTTATGACAGTCCCCGGCACAAAATGCTTCTAATTCCTGAAAAGTCAGGGTTTTTTAAAAGATATTTATTTTTACTGTATGCCCCCTAGTTGCTGAGAAACAGATTGTGCCCAACAAACTAACAACCATTCTATAACCCTCATAACCACTTCTACTTGCAATCTATCATCAAAACAAATTATTTGCAAGCCAAAAGCAAGGCAAAGTCTATAATGAAAAGAATTAATTTTTCCTCCAAGTTTAAGAGAGAAACTTCCCAACAGTATCCCCCCATCACTCCTTCAAACCTGTAACAAACTAAAACAAGGAACATACAGGTAAGTATTTCAGCTATTGAGTCTTGCTACACTTTGGAAATGCTGAAGTACAGCATAACTGGATATACACTCTGAACATGATCTCATTTTGTTCACAATATCAATAATTTACATATGTTATCTGAGGATACATTTCTTTTTTAAAGAACATCCTGTATAAAATTCCTTCAATGAGTCTGCTCCATCATCACCAGCAGAAAGGGAAGTGGGGAGGCATGCAAGTAAAATCTGAAATCTATAGGTTTTTGTGGTTTGGGATTTTTCAAACACCTAAATAAAGAATATTAGAAAATATGCTTCCATAATGTCTCTAAATATTTTGGGGAAAAAGCATTTGTAAAATAGGATAAACTAGGAACTTCAGTGGTGCACCACCAAAGATGTCATGTTATAGGACAGAAAATGTATTAACAGTCATAGTAATCTTTATGCAAACCTAAGTTACTTGAGAGGCTGTATAATGTGTAAAGCAAAATTGCATATATTTTGTTCTGAGTGTTTATGTTTCTTAATTATCCTTCCTAATCATTAAAGCCTTTGGAAACAGCATCAACTGGCAATTCTCTCCCAACATATTCTTGTGTGATTCTGAAGTATCAGAAAATATTCAATCTGGTTTTCATCTAGTTCAGAAAACCTGAATAAACTGCACAATTGAGACTTCTATTCCAGACAAGCATTATCAGCCTGCAAGCCCCACAAGATCTCTCAATTGTGGATCTCCCAAAATTACAAGCCTTCCTATGCTACTCCTTTTTTGACACAACTTTATCTTCCTAAAGAGTTTCTGTGCATCTCTACAGGGTTTTCCCATCCAAGTTTCCTTTTCTTTTAGGATACTATGGAGCCACTTACCACCTTGAACAACTGGTTATTTCTAACACATACATAACATTCAATATGGAATTGCTGTAACTCCTCTTAAGTGCATACGTGTCTTAGAAAATACCATTTATCTCAGCATAACAGCTGGTCATTACTGACCAACATCAAGATCGTTAGTCTGGCAGATCAAAGTTACATTGCTACAGTGAAAAGCTTTTAGTTCACTAAATAGTGAACAGATCGTGTCCATTACTTGCAGTGAACAAGACACTACACAAGGCCAGACAGCTTATTTTCAACACAGCAACCAGCGAAAGCTTGAGAAGTCATTGCAGCAGCCAGTATTACAAGGGAAAGGAAAGAAGTGTATGTTTCAAGTACTGCACTCCCGACTGTACTGTACTTGATACTGGTTTGCACACACAGATTTGTGTAAAGATTATGCTGCTTCACTTCTGCACACAAGCAGAACAGCATGCACCTGAGGAGTTGGAAAGACAGCATAAAACTATTAACATTTTAGATTCAAAGCCTGATGTATATGTAGATCTAAGTCTACCAGTACAAGAGTACAAGACTTCAGATCCAAAAGGCTTAAGACCCTCTGTCAGTCATCACAACCATGGTATAAACCCCAGCCCAATGAAGTAACACATGCTTTATTTATAAAATTGAGTCCCATAGGTGGAACAACAACAACCAAAAAAAGTCATTAAAAGAACCCAGAAAGAATGAACTGTTACTGCAGATCCTATCTCCCTTCACGATCACCCCTCTATCCAAGGAGCACTCCTACAAGGGGTGCCAATTCCTCCAGTCACTTGAACCACACAGGTAAAGAAAGGGGGTGGGTGGATAAACCAACACAGGAGGCCCATTAATTCCTACACAGGTAGAAAAGTATCTTCTTCTTCTTTGGAATAATAAATTCTTCTATTCAGAACACATAAATAAAATCACACATATTGGTAAGTCATTTGGTTTTTCACATAAAAAACTTTTTTATAAAGCACTGTGAGCAAAGTTATAAAGAACTTGCAATGGCCAGCACTGAGAAGCACAGTTTATAGAGTTTACTGTCATCTTGAGAGAATGAAGAAATAAGAATGAAATTACCTGTACTGCATCAGGAGAGTTGCAGGTAAATCATCCACTACCCACTTCCACATAAATTATCTACTGCCAAGCTATGGAATTCCTGTTTTCCTTTCAACCAGAAGGCCTCAATCACCAAAAAACTCACACTTGACATATGATTAACATTCTGATTAGCTTTAAGGGACAAAACTGTTGTTTGGGATCCAAACTATTCGTTTTACTGGCAACAAAATATGCTGTCACTTCACAAATTAAGTTGCAGAACAAACAAAAACCCCACAGACCCAGTAAACATCTGTCTTCAAAAAATATTCACAACACATTCCTGTATCAATTTTCACTATTTTATAGGTTATGACCTAAAATCCAAGGGTAATGTCCTCCCCCCTCCTACCCTGGGCCTCCAAAGTTATAAAAAAACAACCAAAACCACCCCTGTGCATAGGCACGGTGCAGCAACTCCACTGCCTCAGTCCCATGACATTTGCACATGTATATCAGTCAACACACACATAATCAGGGACAGAACTGCTACTGTACTTCCACAGACACGCAGAAGAAATGGTATGACCATGGACAACAAACAGCAACCACAAACAAAAAGCAGCAGAGTTGGCTAAGAGTGCATCAGGGAGTCTAGAGGCCATGTGAGTTCAGAGAAGCACTTATCAGTCAGACACAACTTTTCAAGTCTCCGGAGTACTCTTCATGTTAGGGTACAGCAGTACCTCGTTTTAAAGTAACAAGCCCATACCTAAAACAAATATTTCAAGGTGGTTTTGTCTGGTCATCAATAACACTAATCAACTTATGTAAAAACATAATGCTATATCACTAAGATGCTAGAGAAAACAGGAGAGACAGCCAATTGCTCTCTGCTAAAAACACCCACCCATGTTCACCATGGATTTTAAATTCAGCCATTTCACAAGGTTTAAGATGGTAAGACTCAGAGTAAGTGAAAGAAACAGTAAAACCTCTTCAGCTGTTTCCCTTGGTGGTTTTGGGTTTTAATTCTTTCTTAATTATAGTTGTAACAAAAAGAGTGCAAAATACATGCTTACTATAGAGCCAAGAAGTTCCCAAAGAATTGCCCAGGCTCAGGCATACTTCTTGGTTCTGAAATCTGAAAGTAAATGCCTTGCAAACGCCGGCTGCTGTTGCAGCGCAGTTTGACGGAATGCTACTTCAAGACCATAAACATTCACTCAGTAAAAAAATCCAAAAAAAATTTTCTGGAAGCAATAAAGTCTGCTAATATTTTTTTACGTTTTTATTATGTACATTTCTGTCCCATAAAAAGATAATGGCTCCTGTGTGGATACCGCACATTCAGTGGATTTTGCAATCTGTTCATAAACTGGTAATGGTCTATGCATGTTTTTTTTTTACTTGCAAAAGTAATTAGTAAAATTATCCTATTACTAAAAGCAAACATTAGTGGCAAGAAATTTATATTGCAACTCCAACACTTGCTCTCTATCCTGAAAAGTTATTCCATTTCCGTTCCGGAGACGAAGCTGGTATTTTCATGTATACTGAAATGACCACACCGCAGACTTATCGATTCCTCGCTCTTCTCCGATATGAAATCTCCAAAGAAGCGAGTCCGAAAGAAAGCGAGAACAGATTCGACCCATCTCTAATTGCATGCCTAGCTAAGTCTTTTACTTACGATTTACCTGAACTCCTTTTCCTCGTCCTGCCCTTGCTCGGGAGGCAGGGCCGCCTCCTAACTCCCTCTTTTCCCTCCAAAGCCAGAGTTCGCTGAGCTGCGGGGAGGTGTCAGTCCTCCCTGCCAGGCCCGGAGGCTCTGGCTGTCGGCAACCCGCACGGGGCCGAGGAGCCCCGGAGTCATTGTGCTGCGGGAGCCGACCTCAGCTGTCAAGGCGCAGCGCAGCTCGCCCCGCCGGCGGGGAGGAGAGGGAGGAGGGTCACAGCCCAGCGCCGCGGCAGCGCCCTCCCGCCCGCCCTTGCCCGGCCGCGCTCCGGGCCCCGCACCGCGGCTCCGGGCGAGCGGCCTGCGGGGCCGGGGCCGCTCCGGAGCCGGGCGGGCGCCATGCTACAAACCAAAATGGCTGCCCCGGGGAGGGAGCCCGGCTCGGGCCTCCGCCGGTACCGCCGCTCCGCCCGCCGGACCTCGCCCAGGTACCGACCCCGGGCCACGGCGACCGGTTCGGCCTCGAGGGCCCCGCGGAGCCCGCTCGCCCAGGCAGCGCTGCCCCCGCATGCCGCGCGCGGCCCGGCCCCCGGAGCCAGCCGGGCCAGTCCCAGATCGCCCTGGCCCCCGTACCTGGAGCTCGGCCCGCTCCACCTCCCAGTGCGCCCTCTCCATCTCGAAACGAGCCCACTCGTGCTGGATGTAGTGCAGGATCCCCGGGATGGTGTAGTGCTGGGGCCGGGACAGCTCGGCGGGGCCCGCCGCCTCCTGACCGGCCGGGGCCGCGGGGCCCTGGGGCTGTGGCTGTTGCCCTCCTCCTCCGCCGGCTCCAGCCCCCACGCAGCCCCCACCCGACTGCAGGTTCATGTTCCCACCCGCCTGCGGCGGCGGCTGCTGTGGTCTCGGGGCGGCCGCCATCCCACCGCCTCCTCCGGCTCCTGGGTGCTCGTCCATTGTCTGCGGGGAGCCCTCCTCCTCGTCCCGCGGCGGGGGCCAGGAGCAGGGGCCGGGGAGGGGGCGAGCGGCGCTGGCTGGGGCGGGGAGGAGGGGGCGGGCCGGGCGGGACGGGCCCGGGGCTGGCGGCCGGGCGGGCGGGCTGTCCCCCGGGACCGGCCCTGGGGCCGGCGGTGCTGGGGCTGGCGGCGTGAGGCCCGGCCGGGCAGTTCCCCTGTGGTGCCCCGGGTGACTGTCGGAAGTGGCGGCGAGGCTCGGTTCGCCCCCGCCACTCGGGAGTGCCGAACGCCTGGAAGAGTCGGCGGGAATGCGGCCAGGCCGGGGCCCGCGTCCTAAAGCGCAGCGCGGGTCCGACACTTCTGCTTCTGAGACTCTGCGCGGTTTAATGGTGCGCTGAGTTTGCCCTAGAAGGAGGTGGTTTACAATAGGTACATTAAATATATGGCATGTTTCTGGAAGCTGGCTAATTTCTGGTCGTCTTCGTGATACCTCCGTTGTGATGTATTCCCCCCTGGAGGAGGAAGAGTGCACCATGTTCGCTGTTCAAAACTCTTCCACGTGAGGATGGTTTTGCAAGAAATTACTGATCTGTTTTATCTGGCTGAGTTTTATCAGTGTTAGCAATGCAGTGTTTGAGGCTGTAGTTTGAATATGGTGAAATTGCCTCGATTGCAAAATACTACTCTGAAATGTAATACTTAAAAATTATCGTCATATCTAATTTCCAATCATCCATAGGTCATCCATTTTAAGTAAGGTAGGTCTTTGGTTCTCTTAAAAAAATTTACATGCTGTACTCATTCACTGGATGGGTAGTTTCCTAAAAAAAGGTCGATTCTTGACAAACCTGGAATTCTGTTAATTCCTGGAAAAAAATACTATTTGTCTTAGTACTGGTGTTTCCTTTCTTTACCAGTCTCTCCTTAAGTGTGTATTGATGCTTCAGTTAGTTCATCCAGTGCTTCCTTTCTTCTCCATTAAATCATTTCCTACTAAAATGTCATTGTCCATTCTTCCTGATTCCATACTGATTAGGCAATCTAAATGCAGCTCCTTTCCACCTCAGCTGATTTCTTTGTATTGTCTACTGACAGTTACCAAATCATTATTAAAAACTGAGACTTAGCTCATAACTAGTTTAACCTTTTGTTTAGCTGCAGTTGCTCAGGACATTCCTCATTCCTGAGTATACAGGAGTTATTGCAGTTTAATTCCGTTACTATATTCAGCCAGCGTTTTGACAACAGCAAAGGAAAACGTTTTTATTCTTTCCTTCCTCTCTTGACTTCCCTACATAATTAAGGTTGCTTTTTTAAAAAAAAATCTCTGTCCTGAAATTGACGGTGTTTTATTTTAAAGCTACACAGACATACTTGTTTCATCTTTGATTTTAATTGCTATGGGCACGGTAATAAACTAGACTGGAAAAATTACTTTTACTGGTAAATTTTAAATAGTATGTGGTTTTATTAAAGCCTTGTCCACTGACAACAAAAGTAGGAAGACCAATGGTTCTGATTATGCGTGCGGTCTTCATTTGCTACATGGTTTTGTGCAATAAATCTATGGGAAGCTCAATAAACAAAAATACAAAAAATACTTGTTCCTTTTGCTACACCTCCTTGTGCTTCATGCCTCTATCATTTAGCCATTTTTAAATTTTCATTAATGCTTTAATTCCAGTTTAACCCATTTTGTTCTACATTTGGTGAAGGTCGTGGAAGGGAAGGCATATGGGGAGCAGCTGATGTCACTTGGACTGTTCAGCCTGGAGGAGTCTGAGGGGACACCTCAGAGCAGTCAACAATTTCCTTGTGAGGGGAAGAGGAGGGGCAGGCACTGATCTCTGGTGCCCAGTGACAGCACCTGAGGGACCCGAGAGAGTGGCCAGAAGCTGTGCCAGGGGAGGCTTAGGTGGGATATCAGGAAAAGGTTCTTCACCCAGAGGGTGGCTGGGCACCAGAACAGGCTCCCCAGGGCAGTGGTGACAGCGCTGAGCTGGGTGAGTGACGGAGTTCAAGAAGCTTCTGGACAATACTCTCGGGCACAGGATGTGACTTGGGACTTTCTGTGCAGGGCCAGGAGCTGTACTCAATGATCGTTGTTGGTCCCTTCCAACTCTGAATATTCTATGATTTTACATTTCATACACACATAAAGTACATCCAGAAAATCAACTTGTTTAGATTTGTTGGTCCCTTCCAATTCTGAATATTCTATGATTTTACATTTCATACACACATAAAGTACATCCAGAAAATCAACTTGTTTAGAGTTGGACAGGGAAGTACATTATTTGCCTATAATTCTATCTAACATTTATTTTTAATTCTTGGTGAAGCAGTTCTGTAAATATGTAGTCATGCCATTTCTTTTTTGTGAGATTTTATCTCTTACATTCTAGCTACAGCCCTAGAATGTTGCAAACCTTTCTTAGACTGTAATAACTAAAATACTTCTAAATCTGTAGACATTGACTCGAGTGGTTTTAGTTTGAGAGACACGTTGTCTAATTTGAATTGCAGCTGTACTGCAAGTACAATTCAAACTTAGGTTGTGTTTCTTTTTTTATAATTTATGTGTCAGATTATGTATAAATATTGGTGAAATCTGTGACAAACTAAATTCAGTGCCTGTATCTATACCAGAGGAATAATTAAAATTATATTTAAAATATGCTTTATATTACTGCATGTAGAATCAGCTGGGTTGGCCTCCTTGGAGACTTAAGATCTTTTTATCTGCAGAACAGGTATTGCAGGCTTTGCCTCTCTGTGAGGTCTCAGTTGTTATCTAAAAGGAGTGTCACTCAAACAGGGACAAGTTACTTCGAGGTGTCTCATGTGGTTGTGCAGCCTGCAGAGCTGACATGTCCTGGAAGCAGCTCCTGAACCATGTCAGCCTGGCAGTGTGAGTCACACAGGCCAATCACGGTATGAATTTTCTCTCACAGATACTTATCTGCAAGAGATACTTTAATGAGGGTGAGAGCTAACACACTGTTACAGCTCATATTTAAATCTCAGTAGAAAAACTGTATGTCATCTGCATGTATGCCAAATTATCCTTACAGAAGATGTATTTTGTAAGGGAAGTAAAGGAGATTGCTACTTAGTCACTCCAGAAGGTATTTTCTTTTGAAGGAAAGTTTGCAGTTTCCAGATGTCGCCCTGATTTTGTAAGACTTTGTTAAGCCTTCTGATGTTTATATTCTTTCAACAAACTGTCACACACAGTTCTGTAAATAACCTATGTTTTGCATTCTTTCATGGAGGGGGAGAGAATTGATGGACCCTTGGTCTGTCCAGTGGCATTGGAGAGGTGGCACTGTCACCCTCCAATCCACTGTCACCTTTGGAAAACTATAAATGTTGGAGTCAGAAAATAAAGGTTCTTCTTTTTTGTTCCCCTCGAGAGCAGCAGTGTCTGCGTCATCATTTCGTGCCTTATCACAACATCCAGACTTGTTGCATCTTCCCCAAGCGATACTTTCTGAGGTTTTTGTTTATAGGGACTCTTCATTCCATGATAGAGTTCCATAGGTGTTTTGTAGGTTGGGTGTGCAGGACATGCAAGGAAGCATATACCAGAGGCTGCTCTGGACAAAATTTCTAATGCATGGCTGACTGGGATGGAGAGAGTTGGACTTGACAGTCCATCAGGATCTCGATGGTCTCTTCCAGTCTTCGGTTCCTAAGCGCATTTGTGATGCAGATAGTTGTCCAGTGACCTGGAATGAGAGAGCCTATTCATTTCTGACAAACAGCCTTCAGATAGTAATGTCTTTTCATTACTAAAATGAGCAAAATAATGGCAGAGATATGAAAGGCTTGCATCTTGTCACCAATTCCCTTGAACCATTTGATTCTGCATGCATAAAAGCATCATAATCTGTGTGTGTGTGTGCATGGATGCACGCAGACATGTGCGTGAGAATGCTCAGAAAAGCATGTCAGAGTTGTACCAGAGGAAAGTAGCTGGCTTTTTAAGCAGAGTACTGATTATTGATCATAAAAGGTAGCTTCTCAAATACAAAGAAGTTGATGGAATGGGGTTTCTTTACCCATCAACATACACAGATATGCTTTTTGTTTGTTTATTATACTTCACTGGTTTCTGTATATCCTGTGTATGCAAAACTAATTTTAATGTGTTTTCTGTATATGAAAGCCAAGATGAAAAGAGAAGAAATAAATTTTATTTGTTAGAAACAAAACTCAGTCCTTTCCCTTTTTGCCTAAATTGTACAAGCAGATGCTTTTACTACTACAAGTGATTTTTTTCAGATTTAGTTCTAAAGGAAATAAAGAAATCCCTTAAGATGTTTTTAACACTAGCATTATTCTCAAAATCAACTATGCTTGCATACTTTTTTGTAAATTTTTACAAAGTTATTATTTGAACTTGTTAATTTATTCCACTTTTTGTGCACAAAACTGTGTGCTTGTGCTGCCATTTATATGAACAAAATTTCTGGTTAAAGTCTTGAAACCTATCTTTAGGGCTGGTGTGAAAATACAGAAATGGCTACAGAAAGAGTGGACCTCTTTCCTACAGATTCAAAAGTTGTTGATTATGTTTTCCAGTTCTGTGAGTAATAATTGTCTCATGAATTACAGGTAATAATTTTGAGTGCTACTATGGTTCTACCTCTGTTACAACCTTAGTAGTTTTTTTCTTTTTTTAATCTATTCTGGATAAGAGCATTTGTGCAGATTCTTTAAAAAATAAACAATCTGGTCTTAATATTTTCATCTGTAAAACAATCCAGGCCATTCATAAGGATAAGTGCAGATAAAATAGTCATAACATCAGAAAGAGATTAACCATGTACAAAGACTAGGTTAATAAAGGAATAATTAGGATTAAGGGCCAATCCTGCAATAGGATCATACATATGAATTTGTCATATGTTTTGCTGTTATGTATTGCTTAACAGTAACTCAAAGCACAGCAGCTCTGTCAGTGCTCCTGGGGTAGTTGTACTGTTATCCCTGTCTTCCTCTTCTCAAGCCCTTGGTACCATTTATGACTAAATTATTAAAATAGCTTGGATCAAAACAGAGAACCATTAATTCTTGTTTCAGCTGTGCCAAACACAAAGTGTAAAACTCAGATAAAAAAAGAAAAGCTGTCTATGCCACTGTTACTATCTGTTTAGCATGGACAGACGTCTTTTTCAGTTGGTCTCCTGTATCTGAGCTTGCTTAAAACAATGGGCAGCATTTCTTAGATTGTTTCTCTTTCCTGCCACAGCTCCTTCTAAAGCAGCTTTAAAGTTTCAGGTTCCTTCTGTCATGAGGTTGGCTCTTGCTAGGGGGTTTCATTCTGAGCTGGAAGGAGTTGTTCATTCTTGTCCTTCTTGGAAGGTTTTTATCAAAAACTGACTACATCATCTTAGTATTTCAACTTTATGCTTAAAAATATTAAGACATCTTACTGCAACTCTAACTTCAAAATAGAATGTGGGGGAAAAAAAGAGCCATATACTAAGAACAGCAAAGATTGTAGATGGTAGTCTCCCATTTAGTCATCAGTGTCAGTCTACTTGCCTCCAACAGTGAAAATCCCATCGCACATTTCTATCTGGGTCCTTTTTTTATCTTAATGACCTGTTCATTCTTTCTCAGGGCCAAACTCGTGCTGATTCAGAAGCCCACGGCAGCAGCAGTGACCAGCATCCATGACTCTGCTGTCAGAGTGACGCAGCAGGAGTGTGTTCCTCAAGAGGCTCCACGTGCCTGGAAGAGGTGAGAAAGCTCTGAGATTGTCATGATCCCAAATAGATTCTGTTGTCTTGAGGACTGATCCTGAACAATGTGTCACTCAGCTAAGAATGAATTCTCAGTAGCAAATCAAATTAGTAAAAATACATTTGAAATTACATATGGAAATATAAACTTCTTTGTAGATAGAGTGAACCACAGTACACTGAGAAAAAAAGGTCACTTTCTTGACATCCAAGTGATTGTAAAAGAGGTGGCTTTTCAGAAAACAGTGGCCACTGTGAATCAGAAGTAGGCAATAATTAATGTCAGCACAATACATTGAGACTTGTTGCTTCACTGTCATGAATGATTTGTCACCCATGGATGGTGTACAGCCAGTTTATACAAATTGCTAGTAATATCATGCAGCACCTATGGAGCTTGCCTTGTATTTTTTCCCCTGTTGTTTTTCTGCATTAAGATACACTGTTCTTACTGAAAGAGCTACACTGTACATAGATTGTGGATTCCTCATAGGTTCTTTCTGTTTGAACTTTGTCACAGAAGCTGTGAGACCTAAGATGCCCCAGGTAAGGACCAACTCTGCAGAACTGGAAAAAAAGGAATAACTTCTGCAGTAGTTATTGTAATTCCAGTGCACAAACCTCAAGATTATTTGGGCCAATAAATCTGGGATGCAAATAGAAAGTCAGATGTAAACATTACAGTGATTGTTCTCAGGCATTAAAGAAAATAACCCAGAATTTCTATTTCAAAAAATTACATCTTACAGCTTACTCTATTTTCATGCTTTTCAAAACATCAGAGATGTCAACTGTTTAGCAAGCAGATTCTGACATATGCTGTGCTCTTTTTAATGCTCTTTTTCACTGTACATTTCATGTGGTGTATTTATATTTTACAGCTATATTTAAGTGGTGTTGGGTGGATTAATATTTATTTATATTGAGATAAAGCTCTTTTGAGTAATTAATGTGAACCAATTTCTCTTTAGCTGTTGAAGACCCAGACTTAGTTTTCATTAAGTGCAGAATTTACCTTTTGCATCAGTGTAGGAAATCAGACAGCAGAAGATGGATTTCAATGGTGCCTGGTCCCGCTCAAGATATATATTGATACCCAAATATTTAGGAGTCTCTCATTCTGCATTAAAGAAATGATCATATGTTGTGGCCCATGCATTTCCCTTTGTCATCTCTTCATTCAATTTGATATGGCAGTGGTATGAATGTAATTGTTAAATACAAGTCGGAGTGGGGGAATGCTTATGGGCAAAGTTGGCTCTCAGGAACTGTATTAGTGTGGTTTGGTATTGGGCAAATTTCTGATGTTTGCAAACCAGTTAGCATGCAGGAAGAAAATGGTGGGTAGATTTATGGTTCTGAAGAAGTAATAGTTTACTCATCCAATTTCCCAAATCCTATCAAAAATTAATTTGATTGAAATGTGAAAATTTCACATGTGAAAGCTGTTATTTATTAGATAGTTTGTGAATAGTTGTGTGGGGAAAAAAGGGAGTTTTTCCATGGGATGTCTGCAGAAGATTTGAGATTTTTTTTTTTCAATGTTGTATGTTTTGACAAGAAACTCAGTCATAAATGTATGCATACCTGGGGTGGATAGCTTTTAGGAAGTCTTTATTCCTATGTATTACTACTCCTTTTTTTTTTCTCCTCCCAGAAATACTTTTCCTGATTCCTGCACCCAAAATTGAAATCTACCACTGAAATCAGCAAAAAAGAAATGATAAAATTTTTCCTTATGGTTAACAAACAAGGTCAAACAAGACTGTCCAGGTATTATGAGCATGTAGAAATTAATAAACGGACAATGCTGGAAGCTGAAGTAATCAAAAACTGTCTTTCCCGTTCGAAGGATGAGGTAGGTTTTGTAGGTTTTATTTCATCCACATCTCACACTTGTCCTCTTGGTAATTCTGAAACCTATCAGTGTCTATTGCAGGTCATGATCTCATTTGTACTCATGATACAAACGATTGAGTTTCAAGATTGTGGGTTCAGTCAGTTGGACTGTTATTCTGTATTGAGTAAATGTTTTTCTGAAGCTTACATAGATTTTGGAGTTGTGTGCATCACTGTCATGAAGATTCCTCTTCTTTGTTTGAAGAAGCTCAGAAGTAAAGAAAAACTCATTACTGGTTTTACTGAGATATTACAGTTGTGCCAGAAGGTAGAAGGCAGACGGCTCGGAGTTTAAACTCAGGGTAGAGGATTCCAAATTATGAAAACATTATCTAAAGCACAGGGGAGTTTGGAAACACAAATTTTTAGGCCTCTGTATTAGACATCTTTATTCAAAAGAAGTGTTTATGTGTTCTGCAAGAAAGTCAGAAAACATAGAAGTTGAAAAATTTTTTGGATGAAAGTTGAGATTTTCATTGCTCTCTTTAATTAAGTCGTTGGTTCTTTAAGAAAAGCACCAAACTTTTGCACATTGACTTGAATTAGAGGAGAAATGTGGGACTTGGACTGTGAATGAAGTTTATTGGTTTCTGTTCTGAACTCAGCTTCTTTACTTTTCGTTAATGCTGTGTGTTCTTGCACAGCACTTCTCACATACTTTATTCTGGGAAACCTCAATCGAAATAACAATTCTTCTAAGTCCCTTAGTTCGCAGCTTTGACAGTGGCTAAAGAAAGGAACATCTTCGTGCTGCTCCTGCCAGGGGCGCTGCCGCTGCCATTTCGGGCACCGAGCAGGGAAAAGGCGGCGGCATCTCCTCTAGCGGCGAGAAACGGCGCCATCTCCTGGCTCCCTCCCGCTGGGAAAGTTGTTAATTCCCCACTGGCTCTGGAAGTCTAATACTTTTAATTTTTACATTGAAATGGTGATACTTTTTTAATATAGGAAATTTACCTTTAGGTCTCTTTTTGAAAGGACTTGGAAATGAAAATTGTGGGAAAGTATTTGGTGCCTTTATAACACCAAACAAGTCAGTTCTGCGTGTTTCAGTTTTTCCGTTTAAAAAGTGGTGGCATGTTTTCTGCCGGCAGATGAAAAGTGTGGTGTAACAGTTACTGTACTGCATTTCTTCCAAGTTAAAATTGATGGATCTTGACAAATCCATGTTCACTGTGGGTCTTACGAACCTGAAAGCTCAGGTCCTTTGAACAGTGTGCTTTATACTGTTGTGTGCTGAAATGGCAGCTGCTATATTTGACTCATTTTGCTTCTGCCTAGTGCTCTTTTGTTGAGTATAAGGACTTCAAGCTGGTGTACCGACAGTATGCAGCCCTCTTCATAGTTGTTGGCATCGACCAGACAGAGGTAAGAAATTACATGCCCTCTTGCAATGAATGTTTATAGTGATTGCCACAGGCTAGAGCTCAAGTCTTCATCCACTGAGGAATTTTTAAAAGCAATAACAGAATTTCAAGCAGTCATTGTAAAAATAAAAAAAAATAAAAAAAACCAAAAAATACCCAAAACAACAAAAAAACTGAAGGCAAACAAAGAAATCCCTTCCCCCAAAAATTTTTTATTTCTGTGAAGTAAGAGAGATATAAAAGCGAGGGTGCTATGTTTGACTTTGGTCTTTAGCAGTAGAATGAACTGTTACCATGAGATAGTCTTCCTGAGCCTTGTACTGATTCTGCAGTAATTTATGTGAGGTGGAGTTTCTCAACAAATGTTAGCATTACAGGCAGGTCAGCTGTCTCTTCTGTGGTGACTTCTCTCTGTTTTTAATGTCCTTGGCCAAAGAAAAAATTCCTATACTGTCAGCTATAAAGATGCCAATTTATTTTTCTTTTCAAAAAGGGAAAAAAAAAAGAAAGGTATCTGAAAGATGACAAGTACTGTTACAGGTACTATTATTTCATATGTTCAGGTTGCACCTGGGAGGCCTTAGTGTTTGCGTTGATAACTGGTTCTCAGAAATTAATTCAGCACTTACTATTGGAGATGATGACAGGGTGCTGTGGAAGGTGGCTGCTGCCTACCACAGTACCTTCAAGTCAGGGTTATCATGGCAGGCAATTTGGGACAAATTATTTTGGCTTTGCTACAGAAATCGCCCAGCAGAGGCTGGCTCTGTGCTGCAGCTGGCTGGTGTGACTGCAGCATGGGTAAGCTTAACCTAGTTAGCTGTGTGTGTCCACGGAGCTGAGCTGGGAGGGGGTGGGACAAGGGCTGCAGTGGGATGGCAGCAGCCCAGGTGAGAGAATCCATTGGCTGTTAGCCCAGAGCTTCTGCCCTGAGCATTGCCCAGCTCTCAGCACCTCAGCTGCGTGACTACATGGCCTGAGCAGAGGGCTTACTCTGTTGTCTAGTGGCTTTTCATTCGCCACAAACTGAATTAACACAAAGAATACTATTACATTTTCTAGATCTTGATTTAATATTCAGTTGGTTTTAATTTCAGAATGAGATGGCAGTATATGAACTAATTCATAATTTTGTGGAAGTTTTGGACAAATACTTCAGCAGAGTGGTGAGTGAGACACTGAATCTGTTATGAAACATTTTTTCTCTTTCAAAACTTTGGTAGAAGTGTAATTTCAGAGAATAAATCAGAGGAGAAAAATACTTATTATTTTAGAATTTTGATAAATATTGTCACTGCAGGGAAAGGCAGTATGATCTGATTTTTCAGAGAAGTAAAAGTATACATGGGTTATAAATTATCAGACAAGGAATACCAGAAATATTTTTGTTAGAAAAGCACGGGTTTATGGGTTTTATGGGGTTTCTTTGGGTCATATGCTCTTAAATTAGCCATGGGCATTTTATATGTTTTAAAGAAACAAAGAGGGTTTACTTTGCAGTTCTTATGCACTTTACAGCATTACATTCCCCAAATGAACTTCATTCATGATTAAGATGGTGCAAGCATGAAGCAGGGAACTGACATCACTCTCACTGAACAAGATCAGAGGAATGGAGCAAAAGAAACCTCAAAAACCAGCCTGTACTTGTACTCTCCATATTGTTGTCAGGCAACAGTGGATATCTGATAAAACAACAATTATAGAGATAGTCATTTTGTTAAGGATTCAACATCACACATGGCTCCATTTAAAATTACACTGTTCCTTTTGGTGGTGAGATTTTTTTTTGCTTGCTTATTTTTACAAAGTTTGAAAATGCAGCACTGTAATTCTGGTTAGAATATTTGCTGTTTAATATAGGGTTTGTAATAATCTTGTTACAAAAAAAAAATTTGACTGTAATCATACTTTGGCACAGTTTCAGTTAACCTCTGCTGAAATGTGTTGGATATCCCTCTCGGAAAAGAGGACTGGATAGTTTCCTCTGTAAACCATGTACTTGAGGGTACTACACTGGTAACTGTACATACAAGATATAAGCATGCAGGGTCTAGAACTGCTTTCCCAGTTCTAGACCATAGCAGGCATGGCAGAGCTCCCTCTGTGAATTCAAGGGCATGCTTGAAAAAGTTCTCTGCACCCTTCACTGTTTAGATGCCTGGCAAATCTTTTAGGCTGTTATCTCAACTGACGTCGCCCCAGCCCAGGGAAACTCCTGCTAAGTATATCATTCTCTGACTGCACTGAGCTCAGAATTTCTCTTAAAATTGCTGACTATAGTCCCAAACTAAGCAGTGATAACCAGGAATGGGATTAGATCTCAGCAGCACAGGAATGCACAATAAAATTTAGTCACATCTTATTTGTCTGATTGAGCTAATAGTTGCCAACCACCTCTCAAATTTTATTCAATTAAAGCAGAGCAAAAATAGGTGTAGTTCTTATACAGATAAATGTAGTATATATATAATCCTTTGACCACACATATAACCCAACCACAGATAGCTGTTAGAAATTTGCTGAGTTCATCATACCAGAGGTTTCTTGTTTTTTTTTTTAATTTTCCATAGCAGTTTGGGTTTGAGACAGACAAACTTAAAAGGGGGATGCTAAAAGAAATCTCATGTCATTTGATGGTTCTGGTTTTAATATCATACAACACAATAAATGGCAGAGCACTAAGACAAGGGCTGTAATTCTAGCTGAAGTTCTGGCAGTAACCACAGAGCAAGAAAGTATAAATCTGTACTTTTACAGATTACTGTTTAGGATTTGCAGAATTTTAGCAGAATCCCAAATTATGATGGTGGCAATGGAGGCAGAACTCCGGGAAAGGAGAGAACATGTTTCCCACTCTAGAAGGACATTTTTAGACTTGAGAGCTTTAAACATTCTCACGTACTCTATTTTTATCTAATGGAGTTTACAGAGCTTGAATTCAGATATGAGAACAAACATTAATGGAATTAGGGGGAAAGCTTTCAAAGTTGCTTGTGAGATGTAATTCTGAGTCCCCTTCACTTTTATATGGCTACCCAAGAAAAATTCTGCATACTGGTCAGAATTCCAATGTCTCCAGCTATGTTTTAATGCTGAGAAAACTTAAACTGATCTGGCCCTTAAAATGCAGTTTCTATGATGTATTAAAAACTTCTAATTGAAGAATGGCAGAGTCACTCAGCAGAGGCCTGTAGACTAGAACTAGTCCAGTTTAGATCATCTTTAGACCACAGAAGTAGTAGCAATTTTATCAGTAAAACCTTACGAGCTTTACTGTGCCTTAAAACCAGGTTTAGACCATGAATGAAAACCACATTATCAAACTGAATTTCTCTAGGCAGCAGGTAAAGATTCCCTCTTTTAGTAGAGACTGGAGAATCTCCACCCAACTCAGTAAGATCTTAAATGGTAAGGCTGGGATTATTTCTTTCTAAGTTTAGCTATTTAACTGAGGCACCTAAGTTAGAAATTTGGTCATCCTGAGCTCCCTTTACTGGCAGTGGAGACCAATGAGTATCTCGAGAAAGTGAGTCATGCCTCAAGTGTGCCGAGTCAACTGGTGAAGATCCCCGTCTCTTCTGCTGACTGCAGAGAGACCACGAGGGCTTCTAACTCACACATTTTGGTTAAATGAGTAATACTGCTTGGGGTAAATCCAAAAATAGAAGGGAAATGATGACTATATGAAGAATTGTGCTGCTGGGGGGAGAATACTTAGAAGTGCTAAGGGTCCAAAGCTTGGAGTTGCCTTGCCTTTCCTAATATATGCAGCCACTACCATAGCCATGGGTATATGCAGGATCTAGATTTTGCTGTTGAAATGATCTGCAGCAACAACTTTAACTGTGTAAACTTGACATTAATGTCCTGGTTTTGTAGGAGGAGGAACAGAGAATATAGGGCTGGAACTGCCATGATTAGAGCTGCTGGTTTTCCACCCACTCACTCAGATGGCACTGCCCATATTCTAATTGTTACTTGTAGGTGACCTCAGTGAGTTTTTTAAAGTAAAACATTAGCTTTGATTACAGAGACAGATAACACATGTAAAGCAAAACAGTGTTGCAGGAAAGAGCATGACATTGTCCAGTCCAGAACAGAAATGTGAATCACTCTAAAATTTCATATCGTTATTTTGAAGACTTTTTTTATCCTTTGAAGGGATGTGTTATGCTTAATGATCATGAGATGAGATCATCTGAGATAAGAGATCAAACTGTAACTAATGGCTGTCTATCTTTTTTCCTTGCAGAGTGAATTAGATGTATCCTTTTCAGTATCAGAAATCCATTTGTTGTCACTTTTTGGTGTATGCTCCAGTTCATAGTACTGACTGTCACTCAAGCCAGTAGAGATGTTCACTAGTTTTGTACTTGGAGTAAGTAGCACAATTTTGGCACCTTTCTGAAAGCGCAGCTGATGTTCACGTGGCTCACCTATTGAAATCCTCCATCATTAAGATAAGCCTGGTTCCATTTAAAGTAAGACACATAGCTTGCTTTGAGAGAACTAAATACATGAAAAGTTAAATTCATGGGGAACTTTCAGGCTCAAGTAGTTTAAGGTTTCACTTCGAGTTACAATAAAATAGATATTGAAATTACTGTAATAACAACTGTCACAGCTGTGTCTTGAGCCAAATAGCAGCACTACTTGTAAGATTATGTTTGCAGTTTGATCTTACTTCATGAAAGGAAGAAGTGAGTTTTACTTTCTGTATCTTTGGAAGGAGGGAAAAACGTGGGAGGAGGATATTTAAGAAACCAGGTGTTAACTTTTCCCACTTCTCCCCTTACACTGCTGTATTTTCATGCATATGTTTTGCAGGGTAATAATTTAAAAATTACTTAAAACTCACCCAAATACAAATACTAAAATATGGTCCTGAACAATTAAATATAAATAGCAAGTAAATAAAACACAGTACTGGAAAAATTTAACCAGGAGAATTAAACCAGAACCAGCACAGTCTTCCTTCTCAGTTCTTCCAATTCCACTGTGTGTTGACTCTGTTCCAGCAGTTCTTATGCTTATATTTGTTGTTGGTTAAATGCAGATCTGCTGGTACAAAGAGTTTCAGTTACACACCTGAAATACAGTTGCCGTCTTCCAATCAAGTACTGTCAAGTAATTTAGTTTATTTATGAATTACCATTTATGAAGAACATAGAAAAAGTCTGTAATTTTTCTTGTTCTTACTTCTTTACTGAAAAAGGAAAAAAACAAAAAGCAACTGGAAATAATTAATTTCACTTTGAAAATATTTTAAAGCTTGCTGCATGTTGTAACTCTGCCTCATTTACTGACTATATATACATATATATGTATGTACATACACTCACACATACTGTCCATGTTTCCTTCCTGAAATTTAGAAAATGCTGTGGTGTTAGTAAAACACTGATTAAATTCACTGATACTGTGAAAGAGCAATAATGACACTCCAGTGTGAAGTGGTGAAGGGACAACACTTAAAGTGTGTGAGCAATTATAAAAATATAATTTTTGTATTCGCTTAATTCTAATCCTGAACTTTGTGTTCATGTATATGAGCTTTGCCAAATTAGAGACTGACCTGGCCTATTTAGTAACTACACATAAAAAGAGGTCCCTATGTTTCCAGGTAGTGTACTTTGAGCGTGCAATGGCCTGATTATCTGAGTCATTTGGTATACTGACTATTCTGAATTCTGCTGTCTGCTAAGCAATTTCCTATCAAGAGCTCTACACCTTGAGCTACTCCCACTAGTCCATTTAATAGCTGAGAATGCCATGATATGCAGCAGCCTTAGTTTGGGCTGGAAGAGACTTGAAAGGTCATCTAGTTCCAACCCCTTTGCCATGGAAAGGGACACCTTGCACTAGACGAGGTTGCTCAGAGCTCCATCCACCCTGGGTCTTGAACACCTCCAGGGATGAGACATCTGGAACTTCTCTGGGAAACCTGGGGCAGTCCCTCACCACCTTCAAAGTAAAGAATTTTTTCCTAATATCTAATCTGCATCTGGTCTCTTTCAGTTTGGAGCCACTTCCCTCTTGTCCATCCATCTCCAGCTTTCTTGTAAGGCTCCTCTTTAGGTACTGGAAGGCCCCAATTAAGTCACTCCTAAATCATCTCATTTCTAGGCTGAATAATCCAAATTCTCTGTCTTTCCTCATAGGAGAGATGCTCCATCCTTCTAATCATCTTGGTTCCCCTCCTCTGGAGTCGCTCCAGCAGCTCCATGTCCTTCCTGTGCTGGCAGCCCAGAGCTGATGCAGCCCTGCAGGTGGGCTCTCAGCAGAGCAGAGCAGAGGGGCAGAATCCCCTCCCTGGCCCTGCTGCCCACGCTGCTCTGGATGCAGCCCAGGACACGTGTGGCTCTCTGGGCTGGGAGTGCCCATGGCTGGCTCATGTCCAGCCTCTGAGCCAGCAGCACCCCCAAGTCCTTCTGGGCAGGGCTGCTCTGGCTCTGTCCATCCCCAGCCTTGCTGGTACTGGGGCTTGCCCTGATCCGTGTGCAGCAGCAGCAGTGGGTCTTGTTAAAACTCATGGGTTCCCATGGGCCCCCTCCTGGAGCTTGTCCAAATCCCTGTGGATGGCATCCTGTCCTTAGTCTGTGCTGTTTGCAGAAGTTGTTGTATTATATGCCAACACTAATGTTGGAAATGGGTGCAATACCATGTCTGAATGATTCCTGCAGAAATTCATCTACATGGGTCTCATCTGCTTGATGGTATTAATATAAATATTTAGGAGTGTGCATTTCTAACTTACTTGGTCATAGTAGAAAAAATACTGGAAAAGCTCGTGTCTGATATGTCTCTCCTTATCACATATGACATGTGCATGAAGTATGTAGCTTTAGCATTCAGAAGTGCACTTTTTTGATATACATTTCAGAAACAACTTTACAATAAAACATTTTACTTCTACCTATGTACAAAATAATTCTCACATTTAGGAAGAGCTTGATTCTTAAGTTGAAAGGCTACCTAAAATAGTCAAAGTGAAATACCCTCCCTTATTAAATGAGATACCCTCCCTTATTAAATGTAAAGCAGAGGTGTAACTAAGAGGAAGGGGATTGTTCAGGACTGTATTTATTTTTGACAACAGCTTGAATAGCTGACCCAGAAGAACAATTCAGGCAAGTGCCTGGAGCTATTATTGCAGTGCAAGAAATAAACCATCAACCTGCCTTTCATAATGTGAAAGAAAATATCCTCACCTGCGATTAAACCCTTGCCTTTGCAAATGGTCTCACACTAACCTCCATGCTCAGTGCAGTTAGCTTGCAAAGTATCTGATGGAGAAGGTCTGCAACAGTGAACACCAAATAGTATTTACAGAATCTTTGTTTGCAGAGTATCTTGCAGGAGACTCATAATTTCCTGACCCTCTGCTATTATTTTTGTGTACAGATCCGTAGGAAGTTTATTTTAAATGTGATAGTGGCTATTTTATATAGCCAGTAGTGTTTACTAACATGAAAAAAATAGAAGGAAATTACATGAACTCAAAACCCATTTAAAATAGACCATAATTACTAAGGCTATTCAGCCATGCACAGAGCAAAGCCCAGTTAAAGCCAAAGGCTGAGCCTATCACACAATTGAGATGTCCCTGGAACCCACACCAAGCCTGCATCACATGCACTGGTTCTTGCAGCTCCCAGACATAGTGCATTACCCCAGTATTCCTGGCAATGCAGCTCCAGCAGAGGCAGAACTCCAGCTTTCATTTAGGTCCACACCTGAATTCATGCAGGGCATCCACACTGTAGCTCATGTCATGGTCTGGCTGGAGTCAGATGTCAGGAAGGGTGCCTTGGGCACAAGGCAGGGACTGGGTATGATCTTAATCCTTCCCAACAGGATTTGTACATCATGTTGGTATGTATGACTTAGGTAGGTATGATGCTAAACAATGCATGAACAATGGCACAGTTCTCTCATATATTCTCCAAAAATGAACACAGATGACCTATTGGCTAAGTGCTTGAGAATAGCCAGCTTTTTATAGAAGCTTTCATGTGTGAATTGTGAACCACTTAGCCATTATGATGTCCATTTTCATTTGGAGAGTCAGTTGCACACTTACAAGTACCTAGGCTGGAATGACATTGGATTGTTTTTAAAATACCAGTAAGTAGTGTTGTTGGGCCAGCTGAAAGAACAAGTACTGAAATTGTCCTCGGGGAGTTGTGCCCTAGTGTGTTAATAGCTCTGGATAAGCCTCACTTGTCTATAAAATAAGTGGGAGGGGTTCTCTGTAGCACTAAAACTCCAGCTTGGATGGTGTGGGAACTACTTCTTGCTATGATGAGGACAAAAGAGACTATAAAAACACGAGTTAGGACGCAGCTTTATAAGGAACAAAACACTGGTAAGTATGACAGTTTCTAAAATTACTAAAGGTAACTTTTCTATTGCCTGAAAAGAAGGTGAAGACACATTATTAACTTCTAGAGAAACAGATACTTATGCTCCCCTTGTGGGAGTGGGTGACAGAGTGCTCTGGGACAAAGCATCTGAAGAATGTTGTCTTGATCCAAAAAAGCCATTACATTCCATTGCAACTAGCTGCTGCTGCTCCTTCCAGGATAGATAAGAAGCTTTGATACAGGGATATACTTCATGTGGATCAACTATTCTTCAGTTCTCTGTGGGATAACACTGCATTTAAGGAGTAAGAAAATTGAATTATGAATTTATTCTCTGAATTTATAAGGATGCACTTCAGTTTGCACTGTAACATAAGTGGGCAAAACAGAAACCTGTAAGACTAGCTTAAAATTAGCTTAGTTGTTCTAGAATTTCACAGAACTTGAAGGCACCTTTGTCTCCTGTTTAATGTCAGCATAGTCATTTGAGGAAGAAATGGTCAAGAAAAGCATTTCATGGGTTTTAGTGCCTTAAACGTGCCTGCCCTTAGATAGGCTAAAAGTTATTGAAAGTGAACATTGGCAAAGATAAGTCAGAATATGTGAGTCTAGACTAAATAAAGAAGCAACTCCAACTAATCTCTAATTGAAGATGATTGTACACTGTGGAAATCAGGGGTTTATAGTGCTGTGTATTCAGTAGCAAACCATCTGCCCCATATGTACCTGTACTGTAATCTACAAAGCTCTGTGCTCCTGGGTGTGGTCTGTGATCACAAGGTGTACTTCCTCATCTCTTAAGTCTGGACACACCCTTCAATTACTTGCCTGGAAAACCCTGAGATCTCTTACAATGCCTCCACAGGAAGAAGTTATTTATTACATGCAAGTCCTAACTGTGCCTTTTCCTCTTCTTTCCTTCCCCTTTTCCCTACTCAACTTCTATATACACAATACTTGTGTCACATGTACTTCCTCTTAGTATGCATTTGCCATAAAAGGGATAGTAGAAAGTACCATTAATGTAGTTTAAGTACCATTAAAGTGCTTTAAGAAGGGGAGCTCTTTAAATTACCAGAAGCCAGTGTAACATTTAAAAGGCCAGTTGTGTAGGTACCATTTACTTCTACTGCTCGGTGTGCAGCTTGCTGCAGCATTGCCAGAAATTGGGAAGCCAAAGCTGGCAGGGTGGGGGGCCTCACCTTTGCCCAGGCTGGCATGCAGAGATTAACATGTTTTCCTCTGCATTCTTGTTTTTAAAAGTCCTGTTATCCTCTGCCTGGATCTAGTCAAAGTCCCTTAGTGCTCTTTTTGTGGGCAGCCCAGGATTCTTACTGGAAGCAGGACCTTAAATGACAGCTCTGGGTGGAGCACATGGCAGTGCAAACACCAAATACAGCTTTTTCCTGTTGCCAGCTGCTCAAACTGGTTTGCTTTGCTGCTTTCACTTGGGTGTGGATTATGACTTCAGGGCTTTAAACCCTGAAATTTGGGGTCACATGCCAAACAAGTAACAGGTGGGGAGGATGAGCCTTGCTAAGGATCAAATACATATCCCTCCCTGGGCAGGGCATGCAGACACGAATGGTTGAGCTGTGTTGGGCAAGATGCAACCATAAAGCATAGGTGAAACTTAGAGGAAGGGGAAAAGACACAGAGTTGCTCCCTGTGCAATCCAATTATTTGCCAAGAACACTGTGGTGAAGGGAGGTGGAATGTTAGGTTGAGGGCAGAGGTTAAAGAATGCTTTGGAACCTTCCAAAATCAAGTTAATAGAACTTTCCGGAATGGTATTAGTATCCCCATTCAAACTGCAGATGAAATTACTATTTTTGGAATGATGACTGAGATTACCATATCAGAGATGGACAGAAGTCATGCCACTTCGCTGCAATGGAGTAAGCCCATTTGGAAATAACCTGGAATGGCCTGCAGGGAAATAGACATCTCATACTTTCAGTCTGAGTGGAATAGCTCCAAGATTCTTTGCGTGGGTACAGTTTTCCTTTGACATGGTATTGGCTCTTCTGGAAATACAGCAGGCAGATAAACAGTGATGACAAAATGTGATTAAAAATGTGATTTAAATGTTTTCTTAAAGAGGATGATGCAGAAAAATAAGATGGGGGTGGCAGATCACTGCATGGTCACTGATCCTGGTTGATTAAGTTGTCTGGGTTTTAGATTTTTGGAACTGTTAGAGGAAGGTCTGGGCTCTGCCATGGGAACTGGGGCAGTATGAATCAGTGGAAGAGTGTAAAAATCAAAAGCCAGGAGGAGTTGGCTTTCTCACTTGCTGAAACTTGAATGGAATGTTATCTAATTTCCTTAACAGATCCTGTAGCCCAGTGCAGAGCAGTGCCAGAGGTCAACTAAGCAGCAAAACAGCTGTCTTTCTAAAAATTCTCACATTTCTGTAATAAAGAAATCCTAGCTTCTCAGATTGAAATATTTCTGTAAAGACTGGTTTACTCAATAAGTTTATCACAGCAGAAATTTGGCTTCAATCTTTAAACTGCAAAAAGCTTTACTTCAAGTAAAGCTACCACACATGTCTCTGGTACCACAGAAATGGTGACTGACTGAAGTTGGAAGGACAGCACTGCTCCTTGGTATCAAAAGGCACAATTTTTATAAACAATGCAGGCCTATGGTCTGATTCAGGAAGAAGTCTGGTATTTAAAAATCAGTTTGGAATTAAATTAGGTAGTTAAGTTTAAGTCAGCAGATTAGAAGCTGTCCGATGAACCATGGCCATCCCCAAGACCCTGTTGACAGCTATAGTTTCTCACCTAGCAGGAACTAGTAGAAAAGTTATTTGGGGACCTGAACTGTACTACTACACATACCTAGACATGCTGTGCTCTTGGTCAAGCAGAACATTTCTGCTGGAGCAGGGTTACAATTGCTTCCCCTTCTGCACAAACACACAGTAGCACCAAGTTCAGCCCAGAGCATTCACAGCAAGGAGGAACAAATACATAGATACCTGGCTCCTGAGCTGTTGTCATTTGCAGTTCAGTACTCACACTGCTGCAGCTCTTCGGCACAGCAGTACGGCTGACTGCCAAAGTCACATCTACTGGCAGTCAGGAGACAGAGCAGTCTCCTTCAATGCCTGAGTTGTGTTCAAAAAATAAGACTGGTATTTATCACAGAGAGCAGAGGAAACTTGATGACTCCAAAAACGTGATTCTTGCAACTCCACTGATTAGCAGGGAAGTCCACTAACAATAAATACAAACACTGGAACAAAATCAGGCTGTCTTCCTGAGTTCAATTCACAGTGTCATAAATAGTAGAGTGGGAGAGAAGGCACTCCAGAGACTCATCAGAGTGGTAGGAAAAGTATTGAGAGATGTATTTAGCAGTTACTGTACGAAGTCTTGCTAGCTCCACTGCAGCAGTCCTCAATACATGGGCAAGATTTAGGAGGTACAAAAGGAAGGCAACACAGACCTGCTGTGCTCAGCACAGAACACATGTAAAGAGCAGCAACAGGTGGAGAGCAAGGCAGATAAAGGGTTATTCATGCTCTGTGTATGTATGTCAGTGAGGCATAACAGATGCACCCAGCAGGCTGCTTTGCTGTGCCCGTTTCCATTTCAGGTTGTGGTGATAAATGGCAACATCCAAGTGTTTTTTTCACAGCATAACCCTTGGCAGTTGTTCAGTGGATGTGCTGGACACTCATGTCTACACTCGTGTGTCATGACTGCCCACCACTCCATACCCCTAGAAGGCCTGTGATCGTTGTTTTTTGAGACAGATGCTGTTACATAACGTTAAGGAAAGACAGATGTGCTTATGGACAGATGTGCTTATTTATTTACTTGTCCTCTTTTTATGAGATTTACTGCTAGATCAATGATTCAATTTATGTATCAGCATACTCCTATTAAGATATGTCCAAGCAGATCAAATACTGTTATTCAGGGCAAGGAAATTTTGAGAATCTAGTGTTTAAGAAGTTGCTAATTACTTTCCTTGGAGGAATGCAGAATTTTCGCATCTTCACATAAAAAGTTGTGACCCTTTGATAACATTTCATATCCAGGCAATACATGGTGCCTCAGGCAGACAGCAAAATTAACCACCTACATCTAAGTGTAAGTTGACCTGGTTTTTGCCACTGTGTACTAGTGCTATATTCCAGGACAGGATAGTGCTGGGGCTTCAGCTTCTCAAATTCTGCCCACTCTGTGATCAGAAAAAAGTGTCAGTCAAACTCTTACCCTAGCTTTGTTAAAATAATGGTAAATAAACTAGAATAAATTAAGAAATACTGATTTTTGTTAATTTTTATTGAAGACTTAGGAGCTTAAGATTTTTTTCTGAATTATCTTCACATTGTTCAAAATACACTTAACTTGAAATGTTTCTAGATCATGTTTAATTTGGACAGAGTGCACATCATTTTGGATGAAATGGTGCTAAATGGCTGCATCGTGGAAACAAACCGGAACAGAATTCTCGCCCCTCTGTTTGTGCTTGACAAAGTGGCAGAAGGCTAGGAAGATGCAAGAGTGACTGAGGCATTTTACAGAGGATGGCAAAAGCATCAGGAATGTGCCTGTAGCAGTTTTCTGCTGTTGCAAGACTGACTCATGCAACATTCAAATTAGTTGGAAAATATTTTCCTTTTCTCTTATACTCTGTGTACCCCAGTGGGAAAGATACAGCTAAACATGTGGATGCATTTGGATCAAACTTCACTGACCCAGCAGAAATCTTCATAGAATGGTCAATAATTATAAAACCTTTTTTTGGATGAAACAATGGAAACTTACCATGACTGACTAGGTATCACTTGGAATTATGTAGTATCATGCCAGACCTAGAAGACAAAATACATAGAAATATAAATTCAAACTGAGTTTCAGTCCTTCCCTTAAGCACCAACTTGATTTATTTTCATACAAATTTACTGTTAATAATAGTTCTATGACTTTTATACCTACTTTTAAACTATATTCATCCTTCATCAAGAAGCTGATTTCCCTACCTTTGCCATTCAAGTCATTGACACAAAAAGAAAAGTACAGATGTATTAAGTATTTCTGCATACTCTGCAAGTTGTAACTGGAATTATTTAGCACTTAAATATTATAATATTAATAAAATAATTAAAATCAGAAGTTCAATGCTCTTTTGTCATGTTTGCTTTATAAATTACACAGGATCTTTTCCCTTTTGGCACACCAGTGTATTTTTTTTTTCTCTTGTATATGCTATCTATGCATCAAGAGTAAAACTCTTACAGAAGATGAGTAGTAAAATATACAAGTTCTCAGGACCAGGTGGGTACCAAATGAAGTCTCCCTTCTTGAGCAGGAAGCCACAGCTATGGGTAAGTTGCATTCCCAGGCATCCAGCATGCTGATTCACACTGCACAGTACTCTGTCAGTCGGGACAGTTGGCAATTTCAGCTTACTTCCACTTACCTTTCTAGAACTGCTATCTGCCTCCTTCTTCTTAACCTCCAGCCCAACCCTACACATAACCTGATACTGAATAAGCATATTCTGTGTGAAAGCACATGCTGGTCACATAAACACCACTCAGAAACCAGGGTCTAAGGAGCAGAGTGTTGTGTTGTGTGTGAGAATAATCCACAGGGCTTTCACACAGTAACACATTTATCAAAACAGGATGATTCTGGGACTGGAGCAGAGTTGCATAAACCTGGATACAGGTGTTTGTCTGAAGCACGACAGGCACTGGAGTGGGCAGGATGGTGGATATTCCCCTCCAATTCTGCATTAGGGAAAATCTAAAAAACAATGCTGTAAAGTCCTACAAACAATGCCATGAAAAAAAATATGGCACCAACCCGATGTGTATGTGAAGGCAGGATCTTTTGGAGAATCTTTTGGCAAGCCCACCTCAGCAGTGGCCTGAGAAGAGGTTGTTACCAAGGAGAACTGGCTCAAAGCAAAACTTATTACATAGATTCAACCACAATAGCTTTTTTTTTTTTTTTTTTCTGGTATCAGCTACTTAAAATCTTTAAAACCATATCTTGATTTATCTTACTGTAAGCCACTTTTCTTCCAATAAATATCACGTGCTAACACCAAGACAGCTAATCCATCTGAAGTGAAGCTGAATCATCTGTATCACCTGACCCAGATTTTATTCCAGCGTAATGAAGAACTGTAGTCTCAGGTCACAGAAGAGCAAAACCTGCCACATGTACATTATTACTACCAGACTCATTCTTAAGAAGTTCCACTCACTCTGAAAAGATTTGAACACAGAGGTGAATTTGTGAGATCAGTAGTTCTCTTATGTAGTTCTTTGAAACCTTTAAAAAAGCATGGCACGTTGTTCAGAACATGTACAGAGATTTAGTGAGTGTTAATGAAGTATTCAGAAGAGACATTTTTATATGTTGCAAACATTTTAATGATTACTTTTGAGCTTACACATTGGGTGCTTTTTTTTTTTTAAACTTCAAACTGCAACAAGTTAAATAAATGTTTATAATATACAAAGAAAATACAACCGAAAGTAAAACTTGCTTTAAGTGTGCCTTGCACTAGGAACCAGTGTTTTTTAATAGCTTTATTGTTGAGCTGCACGAACACACTTAAGGATTTGATCTTTATAGCAGGGCATTTGAGAAATCAAAATATATTCCCACTTGAAAGAAAAAGAAGAAAAAAAAATGGTTGTGCATGATTATACGCAAAAACCCACTAAAATACTCCAATAGTGCAGGCACCATTAAGAAAGAAAAGGCTGGAGATGCCCATTAAGTCTAAATTTTAAAGGAAGCAAGTTTCTGACCAGTTAGCTTAAAGCCAGCAAAACAGGGATCAGTGATGGCAACCGTAGTGTACAGGGTATTAAAAGACAAACTTTACACAATACACTGTTAGAAATTTGTATCAGTGAACACTGAAAATCTGATGATCTGTTCTTTGGAACAGTCAAACAGAAACACCTTAATTTCCAGTTGTGCAAGCCCTTGAAGCATCACACAGTGTTCTGTGCCAATTTCTTGCTGGCTGTGTAGTTACAAGGATTTATTTTGTCATTAGCAGCTAACAAACATTCCACATTTTCCTAAAGCCTCACAGGTGAAAAAAGGCAAGTCTCGTCAGAGTACAGCGTGGAGATCGTATTTTTTGCACACAAACACAAGAGGCTTTGCTAGTATCAAAAACACTTCCATGTCCCAGGCTGCGCTCAGCGGCTCAGTTGAGATGGAAGCCTTTCTCCATGGTAGCAGCTAGCAGACGCTCCCTCATAATCTCCTCGGAAGAATACTCAGGCAACTTTAGGTAATGTACACATGTATTCACAGATGGATAGCTTGCATCTGTAGCATCAACCTGAAGGAAAAAAAAAGAATTTTACAGCAGTTGTTCACAGCACTCAGTATGGAAGTTAAAAGCAAAAAAGTCCTCTAAGTCATGGCACTTGCTGCATACCTAACACCAGTTGTCAAGAAACAAGAGCATCAGCAAAGCTACAGGCCAATTTATAAATATACTTGCTTTGTATGTACATTAATACTTTGATATTTATATATATGAATTATATATATTAAAATATATATATGGTATCAGAGGAAACAAGAGGTTAGTATTGAAACCTTAGCATAATGCCATAGATTAAATAACTAAAATCTAAAGCATCATTGTTAATGCAGAAACCCCTGCACTGCCAAGGCAAAGCAGCTGGCCCAAAGCGTGGCCCGGAGACGCCGTACCTTGCGCACAACAGTGAGCCGGGGGTGGAGGTTTGCCAGCCCTCCTGGTGGGAGTGTCGAACAGCCAGTGGTGAACTGCAGAAAAGCCTTCCTCTCATCCGAAGACATTCCACACAAGACTCTCACAAATCGAAGGAATCCAGGGCTTAAAATAAAGTAAAACAATTAGTTCTGATAACACTAGAAGAGAGTGATGGGGGGGTTAAAATTTCTCTTAACTTGACACAGTAGAATTGCAATCTTTAGTCATGTTTAAGCAGACATTGTAAGAATCTAGGGCCTGTTGAGTATTAAGAATAAAACATCCTTAAATCCAAAGAAATAGTCTTTAATCTCCTTGCAGAGTATTATACAAAAAAATGTAGGTACATAGTTATTTTGGGGTGTTGTGTGGGTATCTTGCACTTGAATGCATTTGACAAGGTAGAGAAGCAGAGCTCAAACATTTCAGCAGGCTTATTCTAATACAGTTCCAGAAGTGATTTTTATGTTATTGCTGCTAAATAGGACAAGCAGCAAAACCCAAACCCAACAACCCAAAAACATCAAGACCACCTTCTGATAGCCAACCACCAGTAAGTATATTTGTCCCCTGCATAGTACACTTTCTTTTTTCAACTACACCTCAAGAGAAAGGAGTAATAAATATGGACAAAGTAACAACTGTGCACAGCCAAAAAAAAATTATAATTATTCGCAAATATGAGAATAAAAGCTCTATTTTTAGCAATCTGTATTAGCTGCCATTATGTTTTCATTAGTTACTTGTATTTGAGTAATTTTTTTATCTTCTCTCATCACAAAACTACCAAGAACTTTCTAACCTATCTGTTGTAACACGTGGTTGTTTCACACGATTTTAGACCATCACCTTCTCTTCAGTAACCACCACTTTCATCAAATTTGGCATCTTCATCTAATGAACATCGTGGGCGTTCTGCCACTTAACGTTTTCTTTTAGCTACTATTTTAAAATCACTCAGAATAAAAGTACCTATCTCTTGTATATCCCAGTTTGGGTTCGGTGTAATTGATGATATCCTCAGCTGCCCAAGAAGGTGATTGATTTCCACACAGAATCATCTGAACCTCTTCATGGCTGAAGGAACTCAGCTTCTCCATTGGAAACACTCTATTGAAGCCATCTTTAATTTACACAAGACACAGTTATAAAAATGAGTCCAAATAATGTTTATAAAATAATGTCAGCATTTAAGTTGAATTTTAGTCAAACCAGAATCAATCAATAGTTTCTTAATTAAGGTAAGTGGGACATCTTCACAATTAAAAACAGCTTAACTAATGCAAAGGTATTCTGAAATTAGTATCTTACCTATTGCATTCTTAAGTAAAAAGTTTATTTTTGAAAGCCATTCTATGCCACCACTTTAAGCCAGCATGCCCTAAACACCCATTACTCCAGTTAACTTCATATATGTTGTTATATTTACCTCTGAAGGCTTCCATTTGTTTCTGTATACCAGTATGCATGCAGAAGTCAAACATGAGATCTACATACTCCTCTGCGTTATCCATTGTTACAGTCTGCAAAGACAGTAGATAGATACTCTAAGAATTCACTGTTCACTGAAGTTGTTGTTGAGACAATAAAAATTTAACTGCTGGTTCAATTGTAAAGGTAGGTTATTTTCTTACCTCATCTTCACCACCTGGTTTGAGATCCACAGCTGTAAACCCATATACTTTGGATGAAGGGCAAAACTGAAAATTTAAACTTCAAAATACAAAGGTAGTTAATAACTGAAAACAAGTCTGTTAATGCTTTTGTAAACACACCAGATTTACAACCTGTCACACCCAAAAGCATCTCACTGGATTTCAAACCATTGTGAGTGGATCACTTTGAACCACTGTTCATGTATATACAAAAGCACAGAACTACAAACAGTAATGGACTACACAGATAATCTGTGTTTCAAACATATGGCATGCAAATGCATATTCTCACCCTCTATTTATTTGGATTTGATAACCACTGAAAATTTCATAAATCTGATATCTTAGAGCTATCAGCTTCAAAACTACTCAAACCATTTAATTTAGTTCACAAATTCAGAAAAACAATTTCCATTCAATTCCAGCAATAACAATTACAGAGCCATTTGAACTATTAGGCATTGAGGCCCTTCAACAGTGCTACTTGCTTTCTCTCTGTAACAAGCCAGGCTAAATTCCACAAGGCCTTTGAGGATATAAAGCTATTAGAGATCACTGACAGAAGGGCCACAAAGATGGGGAAGGGTCTAGAGAGGAAGCCAGGTCTAGGCTGAGGGTCACTTGGTCTGTTCAGCCTGGAGAAAAGGAGACTGAGGGGAGACCTCATTGCAGTTACAACTTCCTCATCAAGGGTAGAGGAGGGGCACTGATCTCTTCTTTGTGGTCACAGTGACAGGACA